ATATCGTTCTAGCGTCAGTCAGCGTCTGCGGCGTTCACCAGCGACCGGGAAGTAGAGAATATGGGGAAATAGGGGGGGGGAGGCAGCAAACAGCTGGATTAGGTGTCGTGACTGGATTAGGTGTCGTGAAACTGCGGCGTGTACAACCGCATCGCGCATGACAAGGCTCAAAATCATGTAATTCAATGTACTGGTGTAGCTGCACGCTGTGATTGCGCACGCCGCAACTTTACGACGGACAATGAGTTGTTTGTTACGATGCAACTTCCACTCACGCTCGTTGCTGAAAGCTGGTGGACGTTGGCAGAACCTCGCAGACCAATATCTGTAGTTTCCTAGTCGCTGACGTGCCGGACGCTTGGAACCGTAGTGGATGCCGCCACAAAGTGTGAAGGCAGCCTTACATCTGGAGCGTGCAACACCACTGACGAGGGAAAGCTATTTAGCGCTACCGCCATAGAGGTGCTGGAAAGCGACCAACCCACGAAAGTGACGTGAAACTCCGAAGAAAGCCTACTGAACCCTAACGGCGGTTCCAAGCTCGATTCAAGGCAGATGCGAGAAAAAACTATTGGGTTGGCACATAAGTACTTTCGTTTTTTTTTTATTTCACCGGCAAATTTACGTTCCAAAAGATTTGAAACGTTTTGCTAGCGCAAATTTATCGTTTCTGTAGGAAACTTACGTAGTTTTAGAATATCAAAACGGCTTCGGTGAGGGAATAATTTTTGTGGATATTTTTAGTCGTTGAAGTTGAAAGCGAAGTCGGCGAAAATTAGCACCTTCGACAACTGCCTCTATTTACGTATAGTCGAAGTGCTAAAATCGCTTAAGCTGCTCCATACATTTGGAAAAGGTCGAGCTAGAAGTTCCAGCAAGGGAATCTCACTAGGACGCTTTGGAACGAATTTCAAGAATTTTGAAGTTACCAACCTTCACCTCGCCGATATTGGGCAGCTCACGTCTGTTCCACCTGAAATTTTATGCTAATATTTGAATGTTTCGCTGATATGTTTTGCATGTTCTGATAGCAAATTTCGTGCTCTATAACACTGCTATAGAAATCTCTTCTCCAGAGGTGTTTGCTTTCTGTTAAGTTCAGGTTATCATTACGGAACGCGAAGTCGTTGAGAACTAGGGTTCCCGTTCTCCACGAATTTTATGCTAACATTTGAATGTTTCGCTAATGTGTTCTATATGTTCTGATAGCCAATTTCGTGCTCTATAACATAACATAAAATCAAGTTCTCCCGGAGCTGTTTACTTTCTGTTAAGTTCAGGTTATCTTTACGGAACGTGAGGTCGATGAGAATTAGAGTTCCCGACTTCCTCTCTCAACCGCTGTCCACTGAAGCTTCAAAGCTCCTAGAGCAGCTCAATAGAATCGCCATGGTTTGAGTAAGGCTTAGAGTAACAGATTAGTGTTAGGACAGCTCTTAGCGAATTTCCCGAGCAGCATCAGCAGCTCTGATACCTCTGTTGAATGCGAAAAGGAGGAGATGTCTGAAGTGCTGATGCTTATCGACCTGACATTCCATATTATCCACCTGAAAAAACAAGTTCATCAAACGGATTTTCAAAATAACTGCAACGCAGTGTTATAGAGCACGAAATTGGCTATCAGAACATATAGAACACATTAGCGAAACATTCAAATGTTAGCATAAAATTCGTGGAGAACGGGAACGCTAGTTCTCAACGACTTCGCGTTCCGTAATGATAACCTGAACTTAACAGAAAGCAAACACCTCTGGAGAACAGATTTCTATAGCAGTGTTATAGAGCACGAAATTTGCTATCAGAACATGCAAAACATATCAGCGAAACATTCAAATATTAGCATAAAATTTCAGGTGGAACAGACGTGAGCTGCCCAATATCGGCGAGGTGAAGGTTGGTAACTTCAAAATTCTTGAAATTCGTTCCAAAGCGTCCTAGTGAGATTCCCTTGCTGGAACTTCTAGCTCGACCTTTTCCAAATGTATGGAGCAGCTTAAGCGATTTAGCACTTCGACTATACGTAAATAGAGGCAGTTGTCGAAGGTGCTAATTTTCGCCGACTTCGCTTTCAACTTCAACGACTAAAAAATCCACAAAAATTATTCCCTCAACCGAAGCCGTTTTGATATTCTAAAACTACGTGAAGTTTCCTATCAGATGATATCAAGCTTGCTAGCAAAACATTTCATCTTTGGAACGAAATTTCCGGTTGAAAAAAAACGAAAGTACTTATGTGCCAACCCAATACTTCTGCCCGAAGGTGATCGCCGTTCCAGTGCTTATTTTGGACTGTCTGTAGAGTACGAGCTTCGGTTCACCTTCACAATCCTTCACTCTTAGGCAGCGTTCAGACTTCGCAGCGGTAGTGCTGTCGCGCGTTCGACCGGATGTTGTCGACTGCATCGATCGCGTCGAACGGAGCGCCGCCGTCGCAAAGTCTGAGCGCTGCCTAATCAAGTTCACATATTTGATCGATCTAATCCGCCCTAACCCTTTGTAATGGAAGTTTAGTGGAAATTGAGGAGTACGCTTCAAAGTGCTAAAACAAGCGTTGGTAGATGCATAGCAAGTGCAGCTCAGTTCTTGGCCGTGGGAAATCTTCCGGCAATCCTTCCTTAGCTGTTCTTCTCTTCACCGTATTGTAACTGTAAGCCTCGTTGTCCCATTAAATCAGGAGTTGAACATATACAACTGCAAGTTAAAAGTTACATTCACAACAGTAGGGTGGGCGGAGAAGTGAGCAGAGAACCACCGTCACTAAGGCAGCGTTCATACTCTCCTTTTCATTGCGGACTGTCGGTGCGCATCAGCCAGTAGGAGTGCGCACACTGTTTGAAGCCGTTCTCAGCCTTTTCGTTGAAACGCGTATGCGACAAAAAGTGGTAGAAAACGAGTAATACGAAGGATATAATGCTGTCATGTCATTTGCTCGCTTCAACAACTGGTGCAGAAAGACTTTGGCACCGCGGAAAACGCAGCCGCACTGACCCGCCCCGACAGTCCGTAATGATGAGGAGAGTACTTGCGACAGCAGCGGCGGACCGCGGCGACCTCGGCGATCATCAGTACGTGGCAGAGCGCGCCCCAGTGCTTTTATAGACTGCTTGCTTGAAAAAAAGAAATCCAACTTGTAGGACCTTCTTTTCTTTTAATGATGGCTATTAACTGATAACTTACGACTTTCTATACATAAGCGGATCTGGAATATGAGGTGAAGAAGTTTCACTTTTTTTTAGGTCGGCATGAGGCCAACTCCATTCCCTGGGTCTTTTTTGTTTTTATTGTTTCAGTTTATACAAGCGCCTTCAAAATTCCTATCGTCTGATTTGTTCCAACTTCCAAAACATTTATAGTTTACAAGTCGAGTTCAAACAACGAAGAGAAAAAAAAGAACAGAAAGAAACTCACCTAGGAACCAAAACACTAATCATTTTACGCAACATCAACAGGTGAAAACTTTATAACCTCATGTATAAGCTCGACGAATGAAAAAAGAAACAATAAAAACCTACCCTAAATGAAGCTCTCACGCTTTTTGCTCATTTCTATCCTGAATCAAGAAAGAAAATAGAAAGCAAAGAGTCATTAAGATGGGTTCACCTTTTGTGTCAAGCCAAGCTTCATTATCTAAGAAAATCGCAGTCGAAGAAAGAAAAAAGCATGAAATTGAGTCGCTTTTCCCAAAAGCCTTCGGAGCGCAAGTAATAGCGTTGGGGCGCGCTCTGCCATGTACCGACGATCGCGGCGATCGCCGAGGTCGGCGATCGCCGCTGCTGTCGCGAAGTATGAACGCTGCCTAAAAAAAATTATTATTTATTTTCGCGACCGCTCCACCGCCTTGGAAGGAGAGGCGCACCAATAAGGAAGACGCAGGGTTGTGAGTCTCTGTCGTGAAATGCGTCTTCAAAAGCAACAATTAGCAATGCCTAAAAAACGCACTAGACAAGTTTTGATGTGATGGAAACATGTACGGCAGATGAAAGAAAGTGAAAATAGCTGATAAAAGCAGACAAGGGCATAAAGTTACGGTTAACAAATTCACAGCGCAGGTCATAGTAAAGGTGGGGAGTGGTTTCAGGATATGATATGGTTAGAGGATTGAAAGATTATGCGTTGATGATGAAGGGAGGCGATATTCAGCTGGTAAGAGCTCCACCGCCTTGGAAAGAAAATGCTTCACAAAATCCGCAAAGATGCGACAAGTATACAGTAGGGAGGGTTTTCATTCCTTTCCGTTCCTCTCATTTCATGTCCCTTCTTCAGACCTCCCCGCTATAGATTCAGATGCGATTAGATCATCAAACTCCCAAGTTCCGACAAAAAGTAGGCCTCCAAGGATATTCGAGGGCGTGAACCAGCAGTGAACCATAGCCAAATGACTATGTAAAAACTGCTACACAAATACTAGAACGAAAACCATTCTCACTCCGATACTGGTACGATCGAATACATTGACCATATACTGATTTTTGATAAGGGCAAAACGAGAGATTTTAAAGACAAAGTCAGGCCAAGTGTTCGGTATAGTTGTAGGCCCAGATGTCTAATGAGCAAAATGAAGAACTCGAAAAATCAGAACAAAAAAAAACTGATTTTGACTTGCTATCTCATCCATGTTAGAGCCTTCGATCTGATAAAAACCAGATATGATCAGTAATTAGCGTGCGAATTAGTTACTGCACAACAATCCGGTTTCTTTTGGCTACTCTGAGGAGGGCGAGATTGTTCTGGAAGAGTAAAACAGGTCCTTGGTCCATGAACTCCCTGTTGTTCTCCTCTTCTTCGTAGAACAAAACAGTACCTGAACTGATTTAATCAACATGGGTTCGAGCGGTTTGCAATCTGCTGTGCAAAGAGAAGAATAGCGGTCTCAGAGCGACGTGATGTATTGTGCGTGTTCGACAGTAAGCAATCAAATCAGGGAATGTATAACGGTAACTGGTATGGGAAGTGGCGATGACAGGAGCGCCGGTTCCCGTTAGCTACTACTTAAGGCCGTGATGGCGGCAGTTATCGTCATCCAGCTTCCAGCAATGGACTTGGACGCTCGAATCAAGGCCTACCGTTTTGTGGCTTATGCCGCAGTCACCTTCTCAGTGGTAGCCGTAGTGTCGGTGTTCGTCACCTTGCCTATGGTCTACAACTATGTGCACCACGTCAAACGACAGGTCCACAATGAAGTTAACTTCTGCAAGGTACAGCCATTTTCTACAGTTTTCTTTATTCGCAATCTTTTGTATCGGATATTACTTTTACAAGTATGAAAAATGAGCACTTTAGGGATCTGCCAAAGATATCTGGACTGAAGTGCACTCAATGAAGGACGTACCAGTGGCAAACAGAACGGCGCGTCAAGCCTACAACACCGGAGGCGGCGGTGGCGGTTACAACGGCGGTGGTGGTGGCGGCGGAGGAGGAGGATGCAGCGGCTGCTGCAACCCTGGACCACCAGGACCCGGTGGTACACCTGGAAGACCTGGAAGACCAGGAAAACCTGGAGCGCCCGGTGCTCCCGGTAATCCTGGAAGAGGATCATCTGCACCCTGCGAGCCAATCACAGCTCCACCATGCCAGCCTTGCCCTGCAGGACCTCCTGGACCTGCTGGAGCACCTGGACAACCTGGAGCTCCAGGACAAGATGGAGCCCCCGGTACACCAGCTGGACCAGGTTCACAAGGACCTCCAGGACCACCAGGAGCTCCTGGAGCACCAGGAAATGACGGAGCACCCGGTCAACCTGGTGCACCAGGACAGCCTGGAGCTTCTGAGAGTTCAGGACCTGGAGCACCCGGTCCCGCTGGACCCCAAGGTCCACCTGGACCTGCTGGACAGGACGGAGCACCAGGATCCGGTGGAGCTGGAGCTCCTGGACCTAAGGGAGCACCTGGAGCACCTGGTCGTCCTGGTGCTGACGGAAATCCGGGAGCACCTGGTGCGCCTGGCCAGTCTGGAGGAGCTGGAGAGAGAGGTATCTGCCCGAAATACTGCGCCATTGATGGAGGAGTGTTCTTCGAAGATGGTACCCGAAGACGCTAAATGTCTTCCTCTACTTGCAGTACGTACTCTGCTTAGTGAAATTTGTTCTCAGATTCCCATCTGGAATAAAGTAATCTCAGTCGAAATGTGTGTCTTTATTTGCGCCTGAGAAAACGATCAGAAACAGTTGAAGGGATGAACAAAGGGGAAACATCTCCAATCTAAGAGTGACTCGATAAGCTTTAAATAACACAACTGTTTCATATCGCACATCCACTGTCGACGTCAGAGCTTGGCGAACAGCCCACAGCAAGTTCTATTTCAGAAACTGGTAAGGCAGCGGCTGTGAAGAACAAGGCTGCTCAAGTGACCCCCATCAACCCGGGACTCCGCCCATGTTGTCCTGTCTGCTGCCTTACTCGTTTGAATGTAGTGTACTGTGTGCTTTCTCTGGCCTCAATATCCACATCCATTCAGGCTCTCGCTCGGCACAAGCAGGGCCTTATTTGGAGCATTTTTGACGATTCCTTCTCCTTTTTTCTTCACGGGCAAGCTAGCACATACACTTCTGTTGCTAATCGCGCTATCCACACTTTCTGCTGCTGGCCACGAATTCTGCCCTTAATACCAAGTGCTGAATAGAATTAGTACTCCTTAATTCACTTTGGTAGCGGAATAAAGCATCGGGGGCGAGGGATCATGACTGAAGGAGGGAT